CCTTTGGGCCAGGTGAGCTAAAAAAGGAAAAATAAAATCCCCCCCCCCCAATTTTTTGAACCCCCTAAATGATTCATCACCCCCAAACTCAATCCCAGCCTTCCCTTTGTGGTATGGTACCTTGCAGTACAATTTCATAGAGATCCATACACTTGAACACAAGTTATTGTCTGGATACTTGAAAAATGCTTGTTTTTAGGCCCCTTTTTTGCCCCATATTCCTAAACATTTAGGACAATTACCCCCAAACTCAAACCCAGCTTTCCCTTTGTGATATGGAACCTTGTAGTACAATTTCATAAAGATCCATTCACTTACACACAAGTTATTGTCCTGAAACTGCTTGTTTTTTGCCCCTTTTTTGCCCCGTATTCCTAAAATTTTGAAGCAATTACCCCCAAAATCAATCCCAGCCTTCCCTTTATGGTATGGTACCTTGCAGTATAATTTCAGAGAGATCCATACACTTGAACACAAGTTATTGTCTGGAAACTAGAAAAATGCTTGTTTTTTGGCCCTTTTTTGGCCCCTTATTCCTAAAATTTTGAGGCGATTACCCCCAAAATCAATCCAAACATATCCTTTGTGATATGGAAACTTGCAGTACAATTTCAGAGAGATCCATACACTTGAACACGAGTTATTGTCTGGAAACTAGAAAATTGCTTATTTTTAGCCCCTTTTTGGCCCCTTATTCCTAAACATTTTGGGCAATTACCCCCAAAATCAATTCCAGCTTTCCCTTTGTGATATGGAACCCTGTAGTACCATTTCAGAAAGATCCATAGACTTACACACAAGTTATTGTCATGAAACTAGAAAAATGCTTGTTTTTGCCCCTTTTTTAGCCCCTAATTCCTAAAATTTTGAGGCAATTACCCCCAAAATCAATCCAAGCATTCCCTTTGTAATATGGAACCTTGTGGTACAATGTCAGAGAGATCCATACACTATCACACAAGTTATGTCTGGAAGTTACAAAAATGCTTATTTTTGGCCCCTAATTCCTTAACTGTTGGTACCATAACCCCCAAAATCAATCCCAACCTTCCTTGTGTGGTATTGAACCTTTAGGTAAAATTTCATAGAGATCCATTTACTTAAACTTAAGTTTGAGTGCGAAAACCAATGTGTCTTCGGACGACGACACCAGACAACGAAGACGACGACGACGCTAACTTCATACCAATATACGACTACAAATTTTTTTTGCGGTCGTATAAAAACTGCAAAATTTTGTTAAAACTACAAATTCAGTGGCAGCAACCCAACAATGGGTTGTTCGATTCTTCTGATAATTTCAGGGCCGATAGATCTTGACCAATTAAACAAATTTACCCCATGTCACATTTGCTCTAAAAGATTTAGTTTTTGAGATATAAGCCAATAAATTGCTTCGCTGAGCGCAGCTGGAATACGACCGCAGATGTCCAACCCTGAAAAGTTGGGCCAAAATGGACACAATATTCACACTTGATACAGGTTTAATTTGGATTGTAACTAAATTTTTGACACAGAATAACGACGATGACGACGACAACCACGAAGACGTGATACCAATATACGACCAAAAAATTTTCAATTTTTGCGGTCGAATAAAAACTGCATTTGACCCTTATGTTCTATTTTTAGCCATGGCGGCCATGTTTGTCGATGGATACAAACTTCGGATACAATTTATAAACAAGATACCCTAAGGAACATTTAGTTAAAGTTTGAAGATAATTGGCCCAGTAGTTTCAGAGAAGATTTTTAAATGTTAGCAAACTTGATGAACAAATTGTGTAAAATTGTCTTTAAAGGGCAATAACTCCTTAAGGGGTCAATTGACAATTATGGTCATATAAACTTTTTTGTAGATCTTACTTTGCTGAACATTATTGCTGCTTACAGTTTATATATATCTATAATAATATTCAAAATAATAACAACTAGAGGCTCTCAAGAGCCTGTGTCGCTCACCTGTATTTACTGATGCTTTGGAAATCATGTAAAATAAGGTTAAAATCATAATTAATAGTATTAGATATTAGATATTAAAATGATATCAAAGATAATAACAAAAAAACTGCATAATTTTTGTAAAATTACTGACTCAGGGGCAGCAACCCAACAACGGGTTGTCGGATTCATCTGAAAATTTCAGGGCGGATAAATCTAAATCTGATGAACATTTTTGCCACCTGTCAGATTTGCTCTAAATGCTTTAGTTTCAGAGATATAAACCAAAAACTGCATTTTACCCCTATGTTCTATCTTTAACCAAGTCGGCCATGATGGTTGGAAGGCGGGGTCATCGGACAAATTTAGAAAAAAAAACTAGATACCCTAATAATGATTATGGCCAAGTATGGTTAAATTTGTCTCAGTAGTTTCAGAGAAGAAGATTTTTGTAAAAGATTACAAAAATTTACAAAAAATTGTTAAAAATTGACTATTAAGGGCTATTAATGATTATGGCCAAGATTGGTTAAATTTGGCACAGTGGTTTCAGAGGAGAAGATTTTTGTAAAAAGCAAACGACGACGGACACCGACGACGGACGACGGACGACAAGTGATGAGAAAAGCTCACTTGGCCCTTTCGGGCCAGGTGAGCTAAAAAACTGCAAAATTTTGTTAAAACTACCAATTCAGTGGCAGCAACCCAACAATGGGTTGTTCGATTCGTCTGAAATTTCAGAGTTGATAGATCTTGACCAATTGAACAATTTTACCTCTGTCAGATTTGCTCTAAAAGCTTTAGTTTTTGAGATATAAGCCAAAAACTGCATTTGACCCCTATGTTCTATTTTTAGCCATGGCAGCCATGTTTGTTGATGGATCAAAACTTCGGATACAATTTATAAACTAGATACCCTAAGGAACATTCATTTAAAGTTTGAAGGTATTTGGCCCAGTAGTTTCAGAGGAGAAGATTTTTTAAATAGTTTACGACGACAGACGACGACGACAACGACAGAGGACGACGACAGACAACTAAGGACACCAAGTGATGACATAAGCTCACATGGGGCCCTTTCGGGCCCTGGTGAGCTAAAAAGGACAATTTACACGATAAAGTGATCAACATAGACTTTCTTTTCATTCATAAATGGCGAATATATAATCATAAACTATTCCTGACCCTTAGAAGTCAGTCATTAAAAAGTTTGAATCACATTTCTCATGTTGGTACTACATCATGTTGAGAACACACAGGCACTTGTCTCAGAAAAAAATTTCCTACATACCTTTATATAATTATATTAGGGTATATAGGACATGAGACAAGTGCCTGTGGGAGAACAACAAAAATCAATAATGGGTGGTGTTAGAATTAAGGTTTATACCTACATTCTGATGATACACTCACGTTTTTTTCCTAACTTCTTATGTAACAGAACTGGAACATTCACAAAAAAAATCTAATGCTGTTTGTCATAAAAATGAACCAAAAAAAGAATCATTGACAACAATTATGTGATTAAAATCCTCATTACTATAATAATGTCAGCCAGCATAAAATTAAATAAGCTAGCTCAAAATAAAAGGGTGCAGCTTTCCACTGCCCTGTCTATGCACCCCTCTGCTCTTTCTTATTTTATCTACTGGAAAAAGCTTTTAACAACCCAAAATTATGATATAACTAGAAAACTGACATTTTTTCAACTCTTTTCCATATTTTATCAATAAGATGAGCAAGTATTTCCATTTTAGCCTACAAACCATGCTCACAAGCCCTTCATCTTAAAACGGTGTCCCTCTGTCCTTTAATCCTTGCTAGAAACAAATGTAAAAGCAACTCATGAAAGTAAGAACTAGAACTCTATCACATGTGAGCAAAACTCTGTTGATATAAAGACTTCATATAAATGTGATGTATGTGGTATTGGTGCAAATATAACAATATCCCTCCACAAACATCACATTCACATTCAGTCCAATAGTTCTGTCTGGTCCATTTACAACTGGCCCAATTCATCTGTATGGCTCATTCATTACAATATCCATCCAAAAACATCAGATTTAGTCCAATGTTCTATCTCATCCATTTACAACTAGCCCAGTACATCTGTATGGCTCATTCATAACAATATAAAAATAAAGAAGATGTGGTATGATTGCCAATGAGAAAACTCACCACTAGAGACCAAATAATGTAGTATATTACAACTATAGGTTATCGTAATTCCTTCAACAATGAGCAAAACCCTTCAAGCATAGCAAGCTATAAAACATGTAAAAGGCCCTGAAATGACAAATGCCAAACGATAAAACTAATGGCCTGATTTATGTACAAAACAATAAACAAAAGACAAATACTATAAGTCTAATATATTCAATCTGCCCATTTACAACTATTCAAATAATCTTAAAGCTATCCTGTTCACCTCTTATCTAATTCATAATCTATCTTCAACCAATAAATGGTCTGGTCAAAACTCAAGAAATATAAATCTTCTGAAAGACACTGAAGTAACAACTATTTTGTTTGAATGAAAATTCCAATTATATCCAAGATCTGGCAGATTCATTTCACTTGGATCAACATTAGAACACAAAATATCTTAATATTCAGAAAAAAAATAAAAAGCAATTCAGTGAAATATTTGAGCATGCTTTATCCCACAACTAATTTCCTTTACTGACACAAAAAAGTGTGAAAGAACAGCGAAATTACATTTGTAAATTGGTTTAACTTCAGTCAAATCAGATTCAAGAACATAAGCACAAATACTGCTAAGTGGTAATCCTTTTGAAACATACATAAATAAATCCACTAACTACATTAAATAACCTATTTCAAACTATATACTCTAAGGATTAATGAGGCAAAGTTTGGTTGCCATTTTCCTAGTAGTTTCTGTGGAGAAATTAACTAGTATAATTTCTGGTAAAAAACAAGAAATATGATTCTTCTGACAGACACTGAGGTAACATATATTTCAATCAAATCAAAGTTCCGATCCTGTCCCAAATCTATTGTTAAAATTTCCAATAATTTTCATAAGTCAGGTATATCTGTGTATATACTAATCAGATTATGATCTTTATTAATTGTTATAATAAATATAGAGCAGAATGTATAACTGTATCTCATCAGGTTTTTATCACTAAAACAAACAAGTACTTTAAAACAAACATTTAAGAAAACAACCATTTCAAATACATTGAAACATCATGTAATAGTACAGAGAAAAACCATCATTTGAATAATTTCTTCAACAACATAGTACCAAATATAGTACATAAATAAAGTCAATTGCACATCCATATGAAAATACAGGTCTAAACACCATCTTACAATTTCTACTCTGTACAAGTAAATGAAAATATATATTCAAAATTATAAACAGTGAAAAATAATACCATCCATGTGTAATTTTTCAACATTATCCAATATCTTACATTCTAATATAATTTTTTTTGTATTTTAGAGGCTGATCTTTTCAGCAATAATAATCAAATATAGTACTAATACTAATATGCGGTAAGGGTTTTGCTCATTGTCGAAGGCCGTACAGTGACCTATAGTTGTTAATTTCTGTGTCATTTGGTCTCTTGTGGAGAGTAGTCTTGTTGGCAATTATACCACATCTTCTTATTTTTATATTTACAAATAAGAGTAAAAAGTTAACAAACTTAAAAAAAACTTTTTGATTGGAACATTTTCTCAGTCACTATTTTTCAATCAAGACAACATTAAATGAACACTTTAATGATGTCCCTAATAACTAAATGTTTTTTGAATTTAGAAGAAAAATCCTAAATACTAACATTTTGAAAAAAGTTACTGTAAATTCAAAAATTATTGCGAGGTTTTTATGAATGCCAATAATTTGACCAGGTGAGTATCGCAATAATATTAACTCGCATTATGATAAGTGAAACATAGATCTTTATGCAGATTTTTTGGAAACGCATTAATTAATTCCGCATTTTTGTCCTTTTTTTGAAAAATTCCAACAATAAATGCCATCAATAATTTCTAATACAAACATTTACGTAATGAACCTTTACGTTAAATACCTACAAAGGGTAACTACGAGTCACATATCAGAGCAAAATGAAAAAAAAAAAATGCAAACAGAGAAAAATTGACAGGTGAATTATCCCTTCTTTAAAATATGACAAATTAGTTTTAAAAAGGTTGTGTTGGGTTAATTTTTCTAAGAATATCATAAACTAGGAGGGACTTGTACATTTTTTATATATGTTTTTAATCCCATGTCAATATGAAATTAAAGATATTTTAATCTTAAATTTGAATTTAAGTATTAAAGAACTTCCTCCCACCAAAACAAATCTTGATACTGTTTGATATTGTTCTTTCTAGTGTGTTCAATATTCAAACATTGTAAAAAAAAAAGAAGAATACTCATTTCTTAAGGATGTACTTAGGTCAGGTTTTGGAATTTTGGTCAGATTTTCAGACTATATTTTGCCCCATAACACCCATTTTTCTTTTCATATAAGACTTCAATAGCTCATAAAAGGTCATTTACCAAAATTTAAGCAGATTCTAGATTTGTTTTCTTTCGATTTGAGACCCAAATAATACCAATGCAAATATAATGTAAAAGTCTGAGTCAGCCTTTTTCCGCCATTTTTTAAAAATTAAAATAGCTCTAAAAGGAGCGCCATAACCTATCAATATTTTTAGCTTATTTTGTTCCTTAACTCATGCTCTTCTAGCTTAAAGTATCAATTTTATATTCTAGATTTTTTTAATTTCACCTAAGTACATCCTTAACATTGCTGGAATCAATATGATCAAACAGTAAACTGTTGTCATAATTATTCATAAGTATCATATTTCTGTACACAAAAAAAACAACAAAATACTGAATCTGTTTACACATATCCTATCCTCTTACAATGTCTTAATCTAAAAAAAAAACATAAAATGCACAAAAAAGAAATGTAGTACCCAGTATATTTTGGACCATTTACCCCTCCATTTACAGGCTTATCACTACTATGAATTAAAAGGCTCACATTTTATCACTGAGGTATCAAATTCTACATTGACCTTAGACTTAACTACATGATGTTCTACTAAAGCTGATTCATCAATGATTTCTTCTGGTTCTCTCTTAACAATGGAAGGATCAAAATTAATGTATTTATTATCACCCAATTTAGATTTAAGTTCATTGAACCCTATCGGTTCAGTCTTAATATCAGAATCTGTAAAATTGTCCACATAATCCTGACTAGCATTTACAAACTCAAGCATATCAGTAGAATTGTCTGTTTCCTCCGTACCGAATTGTCTACTCTCAGGGGACCCATCAATATCTGTTGCAATGTGCATTATCATGTCAGAATATGCATCAGCTTTATCCATCTCTTCATCACTGTTATCTTTACTTTCTCCTTCTGATGTTATTTCCTCTTCGTCATCCTCGTCCATAATATCCTTGTACGTCCCTAAAATTGACAAAGAGCATTATACATTATCCTTACCTTTTTCTCTGTACCGATGTTATGCATTGGCTGTATGAGAATCAAGATATAGATATAGAGATAAGTCTGTCAAAATTCACAAATGGTATGGTGTCATACTATCAAGGCTGAAAATGTGATTAAGGAGTCTCGCTGGTACAAAAATTTCAGCAAAAAATCAAACATTTTGTTTTTCATTACAAATTTTATTTATTATACTATAAGTTGTAACTTTATAATGAAATGGTACAAAAATCAACCGATGAAAATCGATTCATTTTGACCCCAGATGACTTTTAAAATGTTTATATCATTGAAAAAGCTCCAAATTATCTCCCTTTGGTGTAAAAATGCCATTTTTTTGCATAAAAATTGAAATATCTTTTTCAACTCATCGGTGACCTATATTTTTTATTATTTTTTTCAAATAAGCTGTACTTAAACTAAACTATATTATAATTTAAGCGATTTCTGTAATTTTGTTCTTTTTTTATTTCATTATTACCTTTTTTTCTCCTATTAGTTTAACAGGAAAAAAGTACCTGAACAAAAATGCATGCTTATTTCGAAGGCAGATTTTGAGCTTAAATGAACGGTGACCCCATATTTTTATTTTGTTTTTCTATTAAGTAAAGGATAAAGTTTATTTATAGAAAAAAATAGCGAAATCCTATATTTAAAAAAAAAATTTGATTTATACCCGTGAGCCGCCTTAAGTCAAGGTCCACATGTTTTCAGTTCCAAGCAAAAACAAGAGGCACACCTATGCCTGTATCAACCACATACTATAGTTAACTCTTTGTGTTGCTGATAATTTTTTTGCAATTTATATCATGCTCTCATAGTTTTTGAAACAATGCAAGGAAACCCTAACAAGTTAAAAAATCAACATTTCAGAGGCAGCAACTCCAAATCAGGTGGAAAGATTTTTCCAAAAAATCTCAGTTTAGATAAAACTTGTTGTGCTGACCATTTTTACCCTTGTAATTTTTTTTCTAGTTGCTCTAGTTTTAGAAATATTAACCAAAACTGTAGTTTGACCCATATGTCCTATTTTTAGACAGGGTGGCCATGTTGGCTCATAAACATGATAAACCAGAATGCAAATCACAAACTTTATACGTGTCAACAAGAAGCAGACAAAGTTTGTTTTCAATCCATGGAGCAGTTTGAGAGGTGAAAATCTTTAAAGAAAAGTTTACGGACTACAAACACAAAGTTATTGCAAAAGCTCACACGGCCTTTCCAACTTTTATAAATAGAGTAATTAATATCATATCACCTGTTGATTGTGCAATTAAACTATAATAACTTGTTAATTGATTTAATAATTACAATAATTTTTTATGTGATAAATAGCTAACAAAGAATATGAAGCATTAGTCTTTGTTAGCTTTCACACAATGAGTAAAGAGAGATAAATCTTATGACTTTTCAAATTCAATATTCAAAATGAGTGAGTGTAATGATCATGCTGATATTGTCTTAGAATATGTATTTTTTATAGATGGGAATCGGATATATATAAGTGATAGAATTAAATATATCTATCATTGAGACACTACTTAACTTTCACGAGTAAAAATGTTAGAGCTAAAGTATTTTATCTCAAAGTGTAATTTTCTTAATGAATTTATATGATCACAAACACGAAGTATTCCTAAATTTTTATGCTTGCTACCCAACTATACATCTCACGAATCCAATTTTCTTTTATTTCAAACAATTTTTCCCATTTCAACCCAAAAATGTTAAGGACTATTCCATAAAAAAACAAATGTTAGAGAGTAGATGATGATGGATGGCTGTTTAACGTCCAGTGGCAAATTAATATGCATATTCAGGACGAGAACATGTTAATGTAATATGAATATTAACCCTGCTTTGTACTAGACCGACATGCTGAACCTGATTTTTAACGTGCTAAGTTCCAAAGTTACAGTCCACAGGAAGACATATCACCTTACCCCGACACACTATTCTGACTCCGAGCGGACCAGTCTTTGCTCTTACTCCTTGATGCCATGTGCTTAGCGGAGTAGTAGCAAATACCAATTTTAAAGTCTTAGGTTTAACCTGGCCGGGGTTCAAACCCACAACCTCCCGCACTCGAGGTGAACATGCTACCACAAGACCACCAAGGCGCTGTTAGAGAGTAGAAGGGAAGTCTTGAATAAGCATTGTGGGTCATTTAAACTGTATGTGGACAGAGTTTGAGAAAACCATTAGACCTGTCAGTCTTGACCCCCAAAATTTCATCAGGTTCACCACTTTGAAATTTTACACAGGTACGATTGTCCCTCATTTTTCACTGATTTAAAAGGTTTTTGCTTTGTGTTGATGCAACATTGGGTATTAGATCAAATCGTGAGAAACTGGTTTACTGTTTCTGCCTTTAATACTGTCATCAGAAATTGTAATTTTTGGAAGTTGAAGTAATTAACAATGGCAAACTACCAAATGTTTTGAAGGAACTGTCAAAGTTTGCACATATATATATATCAGTCCTAGAAAATAAAATGAAGTTTTTTTATTTCAGTGTTCATTGTGCAACGATTCAAAAAGTTCCTTATTACATTGTACTATCAATATCCTCTCTAATGGAAAAGCTATTAGACTAATTTTCAATATATACACAGGTTCCTTCTACATTGTTCTACATCAATAAAATTTAATATAAAAAGTTTGAGAAGAATTTGAAGAGCATTAAGGAATATGTATCTATGGTATTAGTGTAGACTTTTTTCTATATATATATATTCTAAAACCTTTTAATGATTTAGCTGAAGTTCTCCTGCTTCTGGTGACTGTGTCCTCTTTGTCCTTATGTAATGTTGTTAAATGATCTTTAAAATCCTTTCTAATCTCAAACCTCTCAGGACAGTGTGGACAATCAAAACCCTTTTCACCTGAGTGGAACTTCTTGTGATTCTTGGGAAAAAATGATTCATAATAAAATATTTCATATATCAATAATCAGTGATAATATCATGTTTATTCATGTTCATTGTAATGTATATATATATATATATATATTGTGTATACTGTCACTGACTGCAAGGCAAAAAATTCAATATAATAACATACAAATACATCTAGAACATGTAGAATATAAAAATAAGATGTGGTATTGGCAGTGGTATGATTGCCAATGTGACAACTTTCCAAATGACATATAAGTTACCAACTAAAGGTCACCACACGGCCTTCAACAATGAGTTAAATCTGTACCACATAGCAAGCTTAAGTATAATGTCTGTTTTGGTGTACTTTTAGTGTTCCTACATCATATACACCATGTACATGGTCATAATGGTATCTCAATGACATATTACATCTTGTACTCATTGTGGTTCACATGAGTATATTCACATATTTTATATTTATAGTTCAAATTTAAATTTATATCCATTTTTAAGACATCACATTTAGCTTTTCAACTGTCCTATCTTATAGCTATTTTTTTATTAAATCTAAATCTTTACAAAATTGCACCATCCTTGTATAGTTGTATCGATACATGTAAAGTGTACATGGTGTACATACATACTAAATCATATACATCATTACATGTGGTACAATATTCATTTTATATATACATTTGCATGTATTAAATGTCAGTGTTTTAAATGAATGCATGTGTGCTGGTGTGTGGGGCTATGTTTCAAGTATTATGATTATAATATGTATAATGTCTTCTTTAATGAAACATTTATACTTCTTTATGATTCTCTTGTTGTGCTTGCGAATTGTCACCAATGAAAATCAATGACCCAATTAATTTCATGAATTTTCTGCTGCTTCATTTTTTCAATATCTACAGACTACATGAACTACCTGTAGAAATAAGTATTATTTGTCATCCAAACTTTATATCCAGTACCTTCATGTCAGTCAGGTGAAATACTTAAACGCATGACAAGTGTTTTTTTATTTACTGGTACAGAAAAATTATTTAGGAGGTAGAGTTATATTCCTTAGACCATTGTAGCTACTATAGACATGATAGACATTCAGATTTTTTTTTACTTGCATGTATATATTTAAAAACGTCTTATTTTCTTATTTTCTTGAATTTCTCTAGATCTTGACTACATATATATACATATACATTGCTCTAATTCAGTGTTATATTGTCTGTCAATAATAATTGTCTTTACAATTCATCAATGTTCATAAAAGTATAATTTCATGGACAATGAAAATCTCTTTTGTATGATATCTTCAAAATACTGCTCATTTACAAGCCTCCAAGGAGCAATTTTTGAAGGCCTTGGACAGTTATATTACTTAACATATGTGCTCAATAGATTTCTTTGTTTAGTACTTGAGATAAGCATGATAAAAGATTGAATTCTTATTAAAAAATAATAAGCAAATCAGAAAAATTTGATTAAGGCAGGTTATTACCTTCCAAAACTTGACAATTTAATGGTTTGGAAACAAAAATTACTTGCAATTGTGTTAGTAAATTTTTGGAGAAGATTAACATGATTAAGGGGAGATTATTCAAACCTTGAAAATAAAATATAAATCTTACAAATTTACTTATACAATGTACCAGTAAATATTACTTACATCTTCAAGTAAATAAACATGACTTGTATGTAATACCCTTTACTGCATGTATACAGTTGTTTGTACCTAAATAATGATGTCCTAGAAGATAGTTCTTACCCTCAGATATGCAACTTGAACAAAACTTTTACCACATTCATCACATTGGTGTGGCTTAGACTTGAGGTGAGTTCTGGTATGCATCCGTAGATTGAACTTGTCTGTAAAACCTTTACCACACTCCTCACACTTAAACGGTCTTTCTCCACGCTCCTTTCTCATGTGTTTCTCGTAGTGAGCTTTACGTGAGAATCCTGACCCACATATCTCACATTTGTAAGGTTTATCGTCAGTGTGAACATTCAGGTGGAGGCTAAGTCCGTTACTTTGGCGAAAAGTTTTACCACATATACTACATGAGTATGGTTTTTCACCAGAGTGGATTCGCATGTGGATTGAAAGTTGTGACTTTCTGGTGAATCCTGTTTGACAAACATCACACTGATACAGTTTTTCACCTAAATGCATCCGTTTGTGAATCAACAGGTTTTCCTCACTAGTGAATTCTCCCTGGCAGGTTTCACACACAAGTTTCGACACAGGACAGGATCCTCCTTTCTGATGTGTCCGCATGTGAATATCAAGGTATCGTTTAGCCGTACAAAGCTTACCACAAATGTCACATTTAAATTCACTGTTCCCACTCTCCATTATATGAGTCCTCATATGAACACTCAGCGTACCATGATGTTGGAATCGTTTACCGCATATTTTACACGAAAAGATTAAAAATTTACCATCTTTATCTTGCATGTGTTTTATATTAGTGATAATTGGTGACACAGGAACTGGTTGAGATTTGCCTGAACTGGTTTCTACTGGTTTAGGTTCCTCTGCACCATTTTCTGATGGAATTGTTATATATTCTACTGGTGGTTTTTGTACCTGTCTTTCTGATTTAGCCTGATTGACATTTGATTTATTTGTTTTGCCTATTAAATTTGAAACTAGCTTTTTCACTTCTTCTGGTGGTACAGTTGGAACAGAGTTATTTGTAGAGCATGGAAGCGTGTTTTCTATTTCAAATTTTTGGACAGTTGGCTTTGAACTAGTTGGAACTTGTTCTTGAACATTCACTGTATTACTTTGGTCAGATTCATTAGTAACAGATGAAGCTAACAACTTTGCAATATCTTGTGAACTTTTCTGAATGTTTTGACATACATTTATCAAGTTGATATCATCTTCCACATTCAGACCCTTTGCAATGTCCTGGATTCCACATCCATTTACTTTTTCTGCAAGAGTCTGCAATAAACAACTTGCTAATGATGAAACTTGGTTCACTTCATTTGGTACTTGATTTTCCGTAGAACTTGCAGCTGTTGTCGTGGGAACAATGGGCACAGGATTAGTCGAAGAATCTTTAATACTGTCTATTATAGCCTTCTTCACAAAAGAGTTCAATGTTGCATTGACGTCTTTAGAGAATTCAGAAATGACTTTTTGTGTAATAACTTCTGTCCATCTATTAATAAAATCATCAGTTTGTACCCCGCCATTATTCTGAAGATTACATTTCACAGGTGTAGAATCCGTTGGTACTATTTTGCCAGAATGGGGATCTGGGAATGACGATTTGTCAATCAATGGATTTATCTTTGTAACATTAGCTTCCTTACACTTGGTCACCAATTCATTAATTGTGCTTAAATTTTGTCTATCATTAGATTTTTTCTTTGAAGGAACATCTGAACCCATATTCAACAAAACAGGAAGTTTCAATTTAGTTGAAGATTCTGGTGTAGAGTTTGACCTATTTCTGTGACCTTGAATAGATGGCATTAAATTAACCTGGTTTGAATTAACTGTAGGGGTTGAAAAAACTTTGTCAATGGTTGATTCAGTTCTTGAAGGGGTCTTTAACATTGAAGAAAGCAAGGGACTCTTTCCACTGTAAGGAGAAGCAAGCATTTTTTGTAAAGTGGTACTGTTCCCAGATTTTGCTGACAATGGTGCAGTTATGTGTGTTATATGAACATCATTATCAATTGTATCTGTTATTACAGAATTTAGAGGTGTAGGAGGAACTGTACCATTGAGTAACCCATATAAAGTAGGCTGAGGTCTTTTACGAGTTTTCACCAAATTTTCGTCCGTCACAGTTGATCCATTGTGCTGAGGGTTAGCATTGAGAATTTTTAGTAATGAACTTGACATTCTTGTCCTTTTCCTGCTGCTGATACTTTCGTCATGTTCCTCTGAATTACCTCCCTTGCTTTTATCATCGGGTTCAGATTTAATATGTTCCGCTATGAAAAGAACATTATCCCCATTGCTATCTAAAGCAGAATTCCTTTCAGAAATGGTATTTTGCTCTATCTGATTAAAATCTGAGGTTCTACTGTCATGAAGTTCTGTTCCTAAATGAATGACTGCAATGAGAAAAGAAAAGATTTATTGAACTACATGTATAACAATAAGTGGAATTCAACTTAAAGATAGATAGTGAATATCATATGGCTTTTTCAATATCACATGTGACATGACGTTGTACAGATTAGGGGTTTGATAATGCTTTTGCAACAGTGACTGATATCGATGACGTGAGGTCATACAGATTAAAGGTGTGATAAAGCCTTTGCAACCGTGATTGATATCAATATCATCAAGGATGGCTGATACAGCACAATTGCCGTTGACCGTATTACACATATAAATTATCTGTATTAACTACTAAGTATATAGTAAATAAATATATACGCAATATCTGGTTATTTTTACATCAGGTTTGATCACGGTATGCTCATTGGTAAAATCTTCATCCATGTATTGTAGCCTTGTACATGTTGTACCATGCATTTAAGTGAACAGTGAAATGTTTGTGTTATCTAAATTTTGTGTTAAAATGTCAACATGTACAAACTAAAGGCTCTGAAGAGCCTGTGTCGCTCACCTTGGTCTATGTGCTTATTCAACAAAGGACACTCTCCAACATTGTAGACGAGAACAAAATTCATGACAAAAATCTTGTATTGCTGATCACTTAATCTGTTAAATTTCTCTCTATCTTCTTTAGTTTTTCCTCAAAACACAAGAGGTTAAAAAAATCCTCATTTAAGGGCAATCACTCTCATGACTCCTATAAAGAGTGACAGTCTACTAACTATATCGACAAAATTTTACTTGTTAGAACATCTTGCCTTGCTGATCATTTTTGTGACTTAAAGTGTCTATTTATCTATTAAAACTTTTATCATATAGGGCAAAATGCCAAAAAATGGTAAAAATGGTCATTAAAGGGCAATAACTCCAATAAGGATGCGTCGGACGATTTCCGCCATATTGTCTGAATTGTAGATCTTGCCTTGCTGATCATTTTTGCCTATATAAGTTTCTATCTATCTATTATAATTTTTAAGATATACATGTAAGTCAAAAAAATGCAAAAAATTGGTAAAAAAGGTCATCAAAGGGCAATTACTCTAATAAGGAGTCGACTGATGATTTCAACCACAAGGATTATTTGTAAAACTTGTCTTGCTGATCATTTCTGCATTTTAAAGTTTCTCTCTATCTATTATAATTTTCAAGATAATAGGCAAAAATGAAAAATGGTTAAATTTGTCATTTAAAGGCAATAACTCCTATAAAAAGTCCTCTGACAGTTATGATGTATACCGATAACTGGTTGAACTTAACATTCTGAACATTTTTGCCCAGTCAGATTTTCTCTTTTTATAACGGTTTTCAAAATAATTTACAAAACTTGCATTTTACCCCTTTGTTCTATTTTAGCCATGTCGGCCATCTTGGTTGGGAGGCGGGGTCATTGGACACATTTTTTAATAAACTAGATACTCAAATGATGATTGTGGCCCAGTTTGGTTAAATTTGGCCCAATAGTTTCAGAGGAGAAGATTTTTGTAAAAGTTAACAGGCAACGATGACGGACGCCAAGTGATGAGAAAAGCTCACTTTGCCCATTGGGCCAGCTGAGCTAAAAATGTATATATGTCAGTCAGGGGTAATACTTATAAAAGTCATTTTGTAAAATTTTAATTTTAATTTCATCAATAATTTTAATAATCACCCCTTAGTATTCTTCAAAAATTTACTTATACAAGTAATTTTTTTTTTAAACACCTTAAGTTATCAAGTTTTGGTAGGTCAAAACATGCTGATACAATGATTTTCTGGTTTTTAATCAGAGTTCAACCTTTTATCTCAACTAATCAAAGAAATCTACTGCACTAAAATGTTAAGTAACTGTGCAAGGCCTTCAAAGATTCAATTCTTTAATATAGGACTTCAAACTACTTTATTAACAAAACTCTATTCCAATCAATTTTTGTGTGTCTAGAACACAGTTCAAAAAAGTTCACCTTCATAGCTGTCATCCATAGGCTCTTCTTTGACCTGAATGATATAATCCATTATTCTTTCTTCATTCTTTCTATCTGCAAAAATAACAAGCATTCTGAGAGTATTGCATGGAAATACATCATGTACATAGTCCATTACCGGTTAAATATTCATTGTACTGGAACAAAATGCTAACGTGATCTATAACGTGTAATGGTGTAAACTTTATAACAAATACCAAGTCAATATCTTCAAGCATGACAAAAAAAAAGTGTGGAAAACTGATTATTTAAGTGAATTTTCTGTCCAAGGACCATAACTCTTCACAAAATCATCAGACCAGTACAAAATTAAAACTTGATCTGTAACTAGTCATGATAAAACAATACACCAAATATCAAATAAGGAAGTCATAACGCCAAAGCAAATGTTTTCGGCTGGACTTACTTTGAGACTTCTCAACTCTGTAAAATTTGAATGATCTGAATAATTCGATTAATAATTTACACAAATTTGGGTCTGTCAAATTTTACAGAGTTTATTTTATACACTCCAAAAGCGAAGGATCTTGGGATATTTGGGTAATCATTCTAAAAAGAAGTCATTCATCTTAAATGGAGTTGTAACTTATTTTATCAGTGTTCCTACTGTCTGTATCACTCAGCTTAGCTCTTCATAAAATTGCATATCACTGCTTTGTGACGTCAAATATGTTAACCCTGCCTAAATAACTTTGACCTGGATATATCACAGGCGTCATAATGAATGAATTGACATTGATAAGTTTGACCCAATAATATCAAGTCATCTTCCAGTATGCTTGTGATACCAAGAAAAGCAAAAGTAAGTTGTTTCTATCATGCAAAATACACAAATACAATCCCATAAATCTATTATCAGATTTTCATCATATATATATTTGTTTGCACCTGTCCTAAAGTCAGGAACCTAATGTTCAGTGGTTGTCGTTTGTTGATGTGGTTCATAAGTGTTTCTTTTTCCTCATTTTTTTATAGATTTGATGGTTGGTTTTCTTATTGGAATGGTTTTACACTAGTCATTTTTGGGGCCCTTTATACATGTTAGGCCAAGTAAATTTAATTAGTAGATTTTCATCCAAATTTTTGAAAAAAATGGGGTGGGTGGGAGGATTTTATTTTTTTATTTTTTATTAGATATGAAACGCTCTTGTGACGTGTTCTTCAACGAAATGCAAAAACCAAAATTTGAAACAGGATGTTATTAATGAAACGAAATTATCGACAGTTACCGGTAACGAAAATGAACAAAATCCGGAAATCGTAAATTTTTCAAAATAAAAAAAATTGGGGCGGAACGATTTCAGAGGGGCGGGCGGGGATGAAAATCTATCAATTAATTTTAATTGGCCTTATAGCTTGCTGTTCAGTGTGAGCCACAGCTCTGTGTTGAAGGCTGTACTTTGACCTATAATGGTTTACTTTTACAAATTGTGACTTGGATGGAGAGTTGTCTCATTGGCACTCATACCACTTCTTCTTATATCTATTGTAAAATATCAGTTGCTCGACAAAATATGAAGCCTTTTTGAGCTCACAGCCTAATAATTGATACATTTGTACCCATCATTATTTTTGATATTTCTGGAAATATTCTGCACCAACCATCACACAAAAGGTAAGAATTTTTTCATGCAAACATTTTTTGCTGTCAGTAAAGATTTCATGGCAAAATTGGGTCTCAAAGTGGAGATAAAAATATCTTCTCTTATTAAAGTCCAGCCAAAAATAGGGCTTCAGCATTATGACGTCAAAGGAAGGCGTTACAGCAAAACATTTAAATAGCCTTTAAATTGAGGTGGTATTAATACAATGTAGGGAGACGTATTTTTTTTTACAACATTATTGAGCATACATGTATATATCATGTATATAGACCTACAGTACATTTTAAAGTCTTGCTCCTATAAATGTCCCTATGAGACTAAACGTCCGACATTAACCCGACTGTAATTAACCCCTGCAGTGATATTACCTGTGTAATACATGTACCTTGCTGGAATGTCGTACAGTCAGGGGTACTACTTGTACAAGTAATTTTTTATTTACATGTACTTGAAGAAGTAAAAATTAATATTCTTATATAAGTAAATTTGTAGGATACTTATACAAAAAAAAATTGGGCTTAGTTATGTCCCTTAGACATTCAGATTTTTTTACTTATACAAGTAAAAAAGTCATCCTATCTTCTTTTCTGGAATTCTTAGGACTTCTTTGCTATAATAGAATTTTTAATTGTCTGTCCTTTGCAGATGTCTTTACTAATCATTTAAGTGTAAGTTCATGGACAATGAAAATCTCATTTGTCTGCTATCTTCAGAACACTGCTCATTTACAAGCCCCCAAGGGGCAATTTTTGAAGGCCTTGAGCAAATATTAAGATCTTTGAGCAATCAGTTTCTTTGTTGAATTAATGAGATGAAACATTGAACTCTAATCAAAAATTATGAGCTAACCTGAGAAAAATTGTTAAAGGCATGTTTTTACATCATTTGTACATCTCAAAACTTGAGAATTTTTGTGGGATTGTAAAATAAATTACTTAGGCCAATTAAAATTAATTGATAGATTTTCATCCCCGCCCGCCCCTCTGAAATCGTTCCGCCCCAATTTTTTTTATTTTGAAAAATTTACGATTTCCGGATTTTGTTCATTTTCGTTACCGGTAACTGTCGATAATTTCGTTTCATTAATAACATCCTGTTTCAAATTTTGGTTTTTGCATTTCGTTGTATGTTTGATTCGTTATACATGTATATACATGATAGAACCTTATCATTACACTTGCATATATGAAGAACACGTCACAAGAGCGTTTCATATCTAATAAAAAATAAAAAATAAAATCCTCCCACCCACCCCATTTTTTTCAAAAATTTGGATGAAAATCTACTAATTAAATTTACTTGGCCTTACACAAGTAAATTTTTTAGAAAATTAAGGGGAGATTATTCAAACATTATAATTAACTTATATAAGTATGTTTTATTTACTTCTTCAAGTAAATAAAGATTACTTGTACAAGTAGTACCCCTGACTGTCGTAAATCAATCTGTAGCTGTGATTGATAAATTTGTAATCTTACCTGTAAAGATTTTTTATAGATTTATAGATGATATATTCAGTGTTCTCCCCAGAAATGTTTTAAGGCGCAAAATTTCAAGGGTGTGTAACTCTATTTTAGAGTGAACTATTGTGACCTGAAGCAATCGGTCATAAATCATTATATGCAATAATGCACAGTATTACTATACATGATAAAGAACATGAAGAATAAAAATATATATATATGAAATAAATTCATTTTAAACACAAAAAGCATTTATATCACAGTCAATTAAATAAGTAAAAAAAAAAACTCAAAATGTATATATAGTTCAAGAAAAATCCTCATGTTCTTCTGGGCCTTCCAATGCTGAACAGCTTCAGAAATATTTATTTCTGTGATCTCTGTTCCTTCTAGAGATATCGTAACAAGACAGTTTGTAATTTTTTTCCTCAGTCTTCATGGTCTTTATCCTCTTTAGTGTTGAAAACATCATCTGCCTTTCGCTTAACCCATTTCTTCTTTGCACAGTCAGAAAATGTTGATTCAGCATTAAAATTGATTATGTTTAGGATGTTTGGTATACAACTTTTTAAAACAAAAAAATTGTAATGAACCAGCTGACCAGTGTCCGTAGTTTGACATTACGCTCTCGTGTGTATAATTGTCAAAACGTTTCTTTGGCAGGTAGATATAAACAAAAACTTGACAAATTCGTCAAAGTTAAGACCAGTGAAATGCTGCAGTGATTCCTACTTATTTCCCGATGGACGAATTAACGATCGATGTTAAAAAATCATTTATTTCTAAAACATGACAGTCATTGACAGTTGACAGACGAATTTTACTTGCAAGCAACAATTTTTCACTTTCTAATAAAATAAATCACTCCTTGTTATCTTTAATAAAAGTTTATTTTACTTTTTTGACGTACAAATACTCTCATTCATAAATTTCATCGTAAATTTCTTTAGTAATGTGTATTCAAATTTATCACATGTATTCATCATGTTCATTGGTCGTGTTAAAATAGATTCTTCTTCTCGACCAATGAAAAAATTTGTTACTTAAATGGCCAAGTGATCGCACACAGACGATGCGTAAATACAATGTATTTGCGATCTATTTCTTCAATTTTTGCACTGAAGTTTTTAAAAACTTTTATTTTCTACTAAAAATATCTATCTTCTTGATGATCTTTTACGCTTTAACCTGATTATATGGTCTGATAAGGCTGGAACAGGTAAATCAGAGACTTTTGCTAGTTATCAGTTATTGCGCAACATTGACCGACCTCTCAGCGGTGATCAGCAACTTGACAATTTTAACCAATATTTATAATTAAAATGTGAAAATTAACATGCTGCGGGATCAAGCATTAAGGGACAGCGGCCAATTAAGGCGCTACCGGACAATGAAAACATTTTGATGGCGCGTCCCGCAGCGTCATATCGGTCTGGGGAGAACACTGATATTCCTGTAACATATTTCACTGTTTTAATAGATAAAATTACGGAATAAAAGCTGTATGGGTACAACTGGATGTTTGCTGAACCTGGTTAAGCCAGAGACAACATATAGTACAAGTCTCTGGTTAAGCATACATTTGTAGCAAAGGTAAACAATAGTCTTGACAGGTTGAAAAGGCTAGTATATATTATTTCTTGATACATTTGTATTTGGAGAAAATGATGACGACTACTGACTACACGAGAGGCTGACTAGAAAGGTTTCATCTTTATAAAGTGAGGAAATTCTAAAATTGAAGGAAATGATAAGAAAATGACATTATTTCTGTGCAATATTTCGGTCGGCTTTGTTTATGACAGTAAATGGAATACAGGTCAAGCTCAGGTCAAGGCCAGATCCATCATGAGCTAATTGATTCGTGATTAAGCGCTTATAGATTTTTCAAATGTGCATCATTCCAAACAATCCTACTTTGATAATACTTTCCATAAGATCCTCTGTGTGCATTCTTATCCTAGTTAGCGAAATTATCGCTTCACGCCCTTTCTGGATGCTACAACCTACAAAAACAA